AAAAAAAAAAAAAAAAAAAAAAAAAAAAAAAAAAAATTCTCCTGGCTCTTGTGAGTTTAAGATTTTCCTTTGTGTTAGTGTAAAGTTAGCATTCAGGCTATGTGCCAGTAAGCTCCTCCAGGATTTCTTTTGTTCTTGACATATTCCAGCTCTGAGCTTTGGAAGTGGATTTGCAGAGATCTTACTCTAGCCTCACCTTCAGAAGCATATTGTTAGGTAGAGATGTTTCAATAGCATTTGCTTGTATTTTCCTTGCTCTGAAGGTGAGGTTAGTACCTGCCTCCTTTGAGGATCCAGTGTTCAAGTCGTCCTTCAGCCAGTCCTTTTCTTTATATGTCAAGTATCAAATGGCCATACACCAGGATTCACCTGATGAATGTGGGAAGACCCAGGTACTGTTTGTTAAATGTTTTTTTTACTACTTGACAAGGTTATCTGTAAAACATTTTATGCCATTTACTTATCTTTTAAATAGGGCTCATGTTCCTTTCAATGTGTATTGCTGAACTTGTGAAAACCAGTCATATGTATGTGAACATTTTTTTTAAGAGTAGGAAAAATTTATTGAAAGAAAGCTTCTAAGAGAGACAGATTCTTTATCTTAAAAGTGTATGTTTCCTGTTGTGCATGGGTTTATTACAAAACCTTTTATTGAAGTGTAATATACATACAGAAAAGCACATATGTGTTTAGATAGATGAAATTTCACAGCAGAACTCACTTGGGCAGCCAGTTCTTAAATTAAGAAATTGATTATTACCAGCATCCGAGGAGTCCCTTCTGGTCCTTTTCCATTGATAGATGTCTGCGTCGGCTCTGGAGGCACTTTTCTGGCCTCAATTGCGGAGCATATCTTCTTTGCTGCTCTTCACATTGTTTTTTTTTTTTTTTTTTTTTTTTTTTTTTTATCAGGTCCTTGCACTTGCAAGGCAGGCCACCGAACCACTGAACTAAATCCTCAGCCCTCTTCACATTGTTTGAAACATAGCATTCCTTTGAATCCTTGGATTATGCTGGTAGAAATGTCATTCTTGGCCACATTTACTCAATAGAATAACTTCAGGACAATTTTTTTCCATTTGTCTTTAGACATAATCATTACATTCAGTGTCCCTTACTGTTTAAATTTTTTTTTATCTTTTAAAAAATTAATAAACTTTATTTTTTAGAGTTTTGGGTAAAAACTTTACGGGGGGGGCAAGTTTATATATTTTTAAATCATATTTCTACAATTAAGAAGTAAATCTGAGGCCGGAAATTTAGCTCAGTGGTGCTGTGCCTGCCTTGCAAGTGCAAGATCCTGAGTTCGATCCCTGGTATTGGGAGGGTAAATCTGAATTACATATTTTTGCTTTAATTATAAAAAAAAAAACAAAACAAAAACCTTGAAAGTGAAAATTTGAAGCTATCACAAGGGTAGAGATAATTGTCTGGTGACTTCCCCGTCTCCCAACTCTGCCCAGAGCTCAGCTTCAGCACTGTTCACGCTTGGTCAGCCTTATTCCCCTTGCTCTCTCTGTTGGAGTATCTGAAAACACATCCTGGCTATCACAACCTTGTTAGCTGTAAATATTACTTGATAGCCAGTGTAGAAAATAAAAGGGGAAAGGTTCCTGGTGGGTTTGTTTTTGACCCAGGCAGACAGAAAAGGACTGGACTTTGGTCTCCAGTCACCAGGTGATGATCTGTTGCTGTAACATGTTTGTTCTTTCATCTTGGCTTGGCTCTCTCCCTGTGTGTGATGTGTAGCTTGTGTGCGCACAGCCCAAGAAATATGGATAGTTTTCTCCCATTTATTAGAAATAATTTCCACTAGACATTGAAGTGATAATTGCAGATGATTTTTTGCTTGTAAACTAGTTAAATATCTTCTAGAACTTAACTGAGAGAAGCCTTCAGCTTTCTTTTAACAGTAATTTTAATCTATATATGTGAAAATTATGAAAACTTATAATTGAAAAATTATTCAGTGTATAAGAGAATTGACATTCTCTTTCAGTTATGCAGAGACCAATCACGTATAGATATGTAGTATTTTATAAATGTTTAACTCTTGCAAATTAGCTAAATATATTGATGACAGGATCTGAGCATTTGATATTTATGTATTTTTGGGAGGTCTTGCGTTAACCTCAAGGCCTCATTCATACTAAGCAACAGTTTCATCACTGAACTACATCTCCCGCCCCTAAATAAATTTAAGGCCATGGCTAACGTCCATAAAATAGAGGGCTTAGGCAATTATTTGTATTATTTAATCAAAAGCTACTTTTTATGAGTAGCCCCTAAGCCAGGGCTCACTGGTATATTGTAGTCTTGTTTCATGATGTGTACTAAGATGTATGCTACCTAAGTTCCCAAAGCTTTTGGCTCATTTACTTAAATTAATTGGTGTAAATAAGGTACAATTGAATTTCCAACAAAATGTCCCTTTTTGGGGAGAAACAATGGGGCGGAGTTAAAGCTAGCACTAGGAACATTTTTCTTTAAGTTCTTTTTGTTAATAATTTCCTAAGCTTTATCTTAGAGAATTATAGAATTTATCCATGGGAGATGAGTAGTTAGTGACAGAGGAATGTCTAAAAGTTTCAGTTCTTTTTAAATATTATAGACCATGGGGCTGCTGTGTTAAAAAGTTAAGTTGGCCTAAATTATTAATATAGAATAACTGATGTTAGTGAATGAGGGTTCAGCATAAGCAGACTTTTCGTGTAATAAAACAATTTTATTGCTAAATTTTATTGTTTTGGGGCCAGGGATTTAGCTCAGTGGCACTGTGCCAGCCTTTCAAGTGCAAGGTCCTGAGTTTGATTCCTTGTATCAAAAAAAAATTTTTTTTGTGTACTCTAATAATTTAAAATGACAGTCTTCTCACAGTGTACTGTGTTCTCCAGCAGGATGCTGAGTAGGTCCTATCTGTTGATAATGGCTCTTACATTCTCTCAGGAGCATTCTGCTCATGTTGTATTTCAGGGAGCCTCATCCCTTGATCACTGCCTTTTTTGTAAAGTTACTGCTGTTACCTGTTATTCTTTCTTGCTTGCTATTAGTTCTTGTTATGTTAGTTTGGCTAGTATTAGAATTCATTCCCTTTCTAATTTGTGGTTTCTTAATCTGTTTGTTAAGATCTCATTGAGTACTCTATGTGCCAGGTACTGTTGGAGAGGTATTTGGTACAGTTAGAAAATCAAGAATAAAGCATATAAAAATCCCTTGCTCTTATGAAACTTACATTGTGGAGTGTGGGTGGGGATGTCAGAGATGGTTGTTAAACAATGAGCAAAATGAATTAGATTATATAGAAAGTTAGCAGAGGGCATTATGAGAAAGTAGTGCTGCTGTAAGGGAGAAGTAGTGGAAGTATTGATTATTTTCTTGGAAATTAGGTTATTGAATTTATTGTTGGTAAAATTATAGTCAAGAAGAACATGGGAAAAGAAGCTAGAGGGATTCTTCTGTGATTATAGACTATTATGTAACACAAACATATTAATTTTAAAAAGAAAATGAGGGGCTGCAGATTTAGCTCGGCTAGGTGCCTGCCTGGCAAGTGCAAGGTCCTGAGTTCAATTCTTCATATTGGGGGCGGGGAAGAAAATAGCTTTTTGTGTTCTATTTAAACATTGTTTTCTTTCAGGGTTTTGTCTTTGGCTAAGTCTGAAGTTCTGGAGTTCTTGGCACTTGGCTCAAGTTAACATCTAAATTAATATAACAATAACTATTGCTGTTAATTTGTACATACATTTTTCTTTCTTTTTTGAGAGATGGGGTCTTGTAGTTTAGGTTAGCATTGAACTCATTATGTAGCCCAGGATGGCTGCAAACTCAGAGCAGTCCTGTGCTGCCTCTGGAGTTACATATATTGGTTTTTGAAAGTTGAAGAATGTGACAATGAAATGGAAAGTAATGTGTCAAATGGAATGTCTGACATGAAATAGATGTTGGTTCTTAGTGAACTTCCTGCCTGAGAACAAATTTGGTCAGTGATAAGTTATTTGGGTTGAATAATATGAAGGTGATACTAGTTAGGATACCATACATTTTGGTCAGAATATTGAAGATATGAAGGCTGAGTAGCATTGAGGGTGATAACATGAGCTCTGATCAGTCATTTCTGCCTTAAATCTCAGCCCTCCCACTTATTACCTGGATACTTTAAACAAGTCATGTTCCACAGCTTTTTTTTTTTTAACTTCAGGTTCCTCATTTGTAAATATGGGAGGGTACTATAACAGGGTTTGTTGTGAGGGTTAAATAAGATCATACTTATAAAGGCCTTTGGCCAAATAATCATTCACTAAACTTTAGCGTCTAGGATGTGGATAGCAATATGCCATTAGGAATCATGGAGGTCAAGAGCAAGTAAGTGATACTTCTGGTCTACCCAGACAGCATTTGCAAATGCAGTTATGTTTTTCCTTGTTTCATTTTCCCATTTTAATTCATTTATTTGTTTGAATTAAAACTCATAGATGTTTTAAATTTTAACATTAAGTTAGAAAATTTGAGCCAGTACTTAAAAAAAAAGTAGTTTAGTTGATCAAAATGTAATTTTAGACATTAAGAATTTTTAAATGTACTTTGACTCATTTCATTGTACCACATAAAACATGTAAGAGGCATTGTTTATTCATGAAGATGTATATGTGTGTTTCTTAACTCCTTTATTTAGGACTAGAGTCAAAGGAAGAATAGGTGTTTTTTTCACTCTAGTGGAAGAATTTCCTGCTTGTACTTGAAGTAGATCTCTCCTTTCTGTTTTTGTTTTGTATTGTTATGTTTTTCACTCTTCGGTACTGGGGATTGAACCCAGGGTCTTTACACTGAGCTATATTCTTTTTAATTTTTTTTTTTTTAATGAGACAGTCACATTAAGTCATAAAGTTGCTAAGGCAGGGCTCAAACTTGAGATTTTTCCTTCCTCATAGATCTTTCCTTTTGCTAAATTAGCTGTATTGGATTGTCCAAATCAGTAGCATACATTATGCTTCTTAGACCACCTAAAAATTCTTTGCTTGAGTCTGAAGAAATTCACAGTGCGCAGAAGAGTGCTTAGAATGGAAAAGATGGCCAGGGGGCATTACCTAAATGAATGAACAGCCTGAGTTGACTATTTTTAAGAAACATCTGGAGAGAGAATTCAGTTGGAGAAAACTAGTGTTCTCAAAAATTGTAATGTGAAGCAAAAAGGAAAATTCAAATAAATGATGTCAAAAGTTCTCGACAATCATCCTCCTATGTTAAGTAAAAGCTGCTTTTAATTTTCTGAGTCAAAGTGTTAAGAAATTTACGTGCTTGCGGTTAAGCATGTTTTAGTAAGCTCAAACTTGTGTCAGGAATAATCTTGCTGTGAATGCCATTTGTCTTTAGCTTTTGTATTTTAGGCCTTTTT